TTCTTTTTTATAAAAATACTGAAGCACTTTTTTGTGCACTTGAAATGGTAACTCTACTTTCTGTAAATAAACATTTACGATCAACCATTTCCACCCGTTATTCCTGAAAACAGCGTGTTAAGATTCTTGTTGGTTTGAGTCTTTAGGGGATTTGTGACAAAATGTAGATCATAGCCAACTTACTTTTTAAGTAGCATCACGCACTGCCAGTCTTTCAACATGTTAACAACAAACAGTTTGTGCAAAGAAAGAATAAGATAATCTGAAATCACAGGACAGGTTCAACACTTTTAGCTCCGTTAATTCTGTCAGATAGATTCTGAGCTTCAGTCTTGCATAAGTCTGATCCGTGCGTAGTCATGTGTCTTTTCATACAGTGCTTGTGACTGAAGGCCATGTCGCAGACAGAGCACTTGTACGGTTTCTCCCCGGTGTGGACCCTCATGTGAGCCGCCAGCATGGAGCTGCTGGAGAATCCTTTGCTGCATTTGCTGCAAACGTGCGGCTCCTCTTTGCAGTGGCTCCTCCTGTGCATCTTTAACTTCTGATTTGTATTAAATCTGCGGCTGCAGATTTCACAGGCGAACTCTGCTTTTTTCGCAGAATGCCTCAAAATGTGTTGGGATAAAGATACAAGACTGCTGAGGGATTTCCCGCAGGTTTCACAGCGGTGCAGCGTCTCACCCGTGTGGCTCACCTTGTGACGTTTCAGCACCATCTTTGAATAAAATGATTTTTGGCAAATGTCACATTTGTGAGGCCTGTCCGCCTCATGGACCCACTTGTGATGGTTTAGCACCCAATTCTGAGCGTACGATTTGTGGCAAATGTTACATTCGTACGGTTTCTTCCCTTTGTGTCGAGCGACGTGTCCGGAGAGGCCGTGGGTGGAGAGGAAAGACTTTCCACAGACGTTGCAGCGGTGTGTTTTCTGGTGACTTTGAAGGTGACTCCCTCAGCTCCTCTACAGACTCTGCTTGTTCTCCACACACTCCACAGAGCCTTTCTGGATCGTCCACATGACGCCAGGCGTGTTTAATCAACATGTTCCTTGAGGTGCGCGGAGCTCGGCAGACTTTACAGGACAGAAAAGCGTCACTCTTATCAGTCGACGCCTTCATCCGTTTCCTTCTCTTTGTTTTGACTCGTTTCTTCCTAGTCGTCTTCTCAGGTTCACTCTCCCTCAGATGTTTCTCACTTGTGTCTTGTTTCCGGTCGTCGTCACTCAGATCATCTCCGTCCCCTGCGCCCTCAGAGAGAACCGGTAGGCCAGCTGACTCTGATCTTCCACCATCTTCATCAGTGTCCTCTGTTTCCATGTCTTCATGGTCTTCATGCCTTGAGCTGCTGGAGGAATGAGAAAAACGGTTTGAAAGTTTTCAGGCTGGACGATTGTGTGAAAGGTTATAATGATTTTTATTGAAAGTCTTTTTTAGGGTGCTTTTTTACCCAAAGCAATTATTGCCATTGAACCTACTCAATATCTAAAAAAAACTACTACTGATATATACTCAGAGAAACTGCAGTTTCTACCAATGACATGTTCTCTCAGCTCTCTGATCCATTTTAAGTAGTTTAAGATTAACTCAAGGTTGATTATTATTTACAAGCCATAACTGGAGTTTGTTCACAGCTCTGGCTCAGTAAAAAGCTTCTGGCAGCCGTTCCTGCCACTTGCAAAACAATATGGGTGGGACAACATGGGATCTGGGTGTCATCATGATCTAACCCCGGATAAGCGTAAGAAAATGGATGTATGGCTGATTTGGATCTGTAAATCTGGATCTGTTCTTCCGATTGTGTCACACAAAGTGCATTGAAGACCAAACCTTTCCAGTACAAATACACTTAGAGATGCCAACCGCTCTGATTTAACTAAACAGAACGCTGAATAGCGGAGCGGCGCGGTGGTGCAGTGGTTAGCACTGTCGCCTCACAGCAAGAAGGTCGTGGGTTCATTGGTGAGTGGTTGTTTGTCTATGTGTGGCCTGCGATGGACTGACTCCAGGGTGTACGCCACCCCGTAAACTGGGATTGGCTCCAGCCCCCCCGCGACCCTGTACGCAGGATAAGCGGTTGACGATAGAGAGGTATGTGTGTGTGCTGCTTTGAAGATTACACCATTTTATGTGCGGCTTTGCTATGACGACCAGCTACATTGATGGAGTACTATATCTGCAATGGAAAACGGAGGACTTGGCTCCAAATGCCGAGTCGAGCTGGTACCAGCGATGGGTAAGGGCCATTTGTTTGATGCTCTTCTTCTTCTGTTTAGTTTAACAGCGGTTGGCATCCATGAATGTTGCATTCATGTGATCTACTGGACAGGCTTGTTCTGCACTACACTTTTAAATATTTAGTGTGACACAAACGGTGCTGTAGAACAGTCTCAAAAGCATCCAAGCAAACAGATGGAGATTCACAAATACATTATTTGCACATAGTGTTTTATGAGTTCTTAATATTATGAGACTGCCCAAGCCCTGCGATGGACTTCGCCCGATGTAAGATGGGATTGGCTCCAGCCTCACGCAACCCTGTACGCAGGATAAGCGGTTGACGATAGATGGATGGAGAATGCCCTAATCCCAGATTACCTAAAGACTAAATATACTTTGTTTTCTATGACAGGACAACAGATGTTAGAAAGTCACAGAGAACAAATATGTTTGGTTCCTGTGAAATAGTGTGTCTCCATTTAACAACTCTCCTCATTTACCTTGTGTTCAGGCTGGTTTGATCAGTAGATGAAGAATCTTTAGCAGCATCAGCATGACGAAGCTCTTCCTTATTGGACCGGACTTCCTCTTGTGCCTAGAACAGTTTTGTTCCCAAATCATAAATCAGCAAAAAGCAACGCCATCCTCTTTAATTGCACAGAAGTACCCGCTAGCATCAAAGGATTTCCTGTAAATAGTAAATAGCAGTGTATTAGAAAACACACAATCAGACACGGTACCTTCAGTCGGATGTAGAGGGCTGAATGCCGGATGCTCCTGCTGATCTCCTCTGGCGTCAGCATCTCTACTTTCAGAGGCTGGAGTTTCTTCTTCAAATCAGTTGTGAAGAAGTCAAAGTGTTTCTGAGCAGCCAGCTGAGGGAAGGTGGACCTCAGCAGGTCCAGGAAGTCCAACTCCTGAAGGCCACCAGGAAACTGCAGCTCCAGCACCGGGTACTTCCTATACACTGAAGCATAACAGAGAAAAGTAACGTAACCGAGTAACGTCAAAAGGCCAAAACTGACCCTGCTCATGAGATTTAATTAATGATGCCTTTCTAAAATATAATTTGTATCGTTTAAGATGTAACCTGTTGGGTAGTTTAACCTATAACGTATCATATTTTATATACTCTTCATATGTTTGTCTGTAATATTCACTATCTTAACCACTCTATCTATGTATGGCTTAACACTATACCTACTGTTTTAAGGCTTATTGTGCTTTATGAAACACACACACACACACACACACACACACACACACACACACACACACACACACACACACACACACACACACACACACACACACACACACACACACACACACACACACACACACACACACACACACACACACACACACACACACACACACACACACACACACACACACACCAAATATCGACAAAAATGTGAGGAGTGTACTTACTTTTGTGAGATACGGTGTGTATATATAAATATAGTATTTTAATATTTTTAAAGGTTTAAGCAACTCTCTCTGTATTCTCTCAAAGGTTTGACTGATCCAGTGATCTTTTTTTCTAAAGTAAGTTTTGGGTTTTCAACTGGCCGAGCCATGAACTTTTTTTTATCATAAGTAACTAAAGCTGTCATTAACTTTGACCTGTGAATTACAGCAGCTGACCAAGAATAAAACAAGCTGACAGAGCTGACCTTTGAGTGAACAGAGAGGAGTAGAGTCCAAGATGGCGGAAGCTATCGTAGCCAACTAGCTGTTGCAACTACAGCACAGTCACTACTAGTATTGTTTCATCCAAAGTCAGATTGGGCATCTGAATAGAGAATTTAAATTTACCTCTGGTTGAGAGCACATCGAGCTGCGAGTCCTCCAGGACGCAGATCCTAAGATCTACGTGTTTCTGTGGTTCACTGACCTGAGGTCTGCCAGACCTACTGCTGTCAGACTGATCTCTGGGCGACAATAACATAAAGAAATAAGATTAGGAGTCAGTTAACGGCAGAAAAGGCATGTAGGTATAAAATGATGTGTGTTTTTAACCTTGTGTTCAGGCTGGTTTGATCTGTGGACGGAGAATCTGTAGCAGCATCTTTTCTCTCTGGCACTTTCTCTCTGGCCTTGACTTGCGTAGGAGGCTGAAACAAGAATTTGGTTCTCAAGTCATGTTTCTACCGAAAACAAACCCGAATACTGAAACTTTAAAAAGGAAAAATCTGTGTTATTTTAAATCTGGAAATGTTGGGTTTCAGAGAACTTCAGAATGTTTAGAACAGATCTTGTCCCTGAGATTGAAGTGTTGCATCAGAAAAAAAAGACTTCTGCCTTCGTGAATGAGATATGTACCTTCAGGCGAATGTAGAGGGCTGAATGCCCAGTGGAACTGATAGTGCTGCAGATCTCCTCTGGTGTCAGTATCTTTACTTTCAGATGATGGAGTCTTTTCTTCAAATCAGTTGTGAAGAAGTCAAAATGTTTCTGACCAGCCAGCTGAGGGAAGGTGGACCTCAGCAGGTCCAGGAAGTCCGCCTCCTGTAGGCCACGAGGACACTGCAGCAGCAGCACCGGGTACTTCTTATATACTGAAACACACAGACAGCATTCAGTATTCAAAACCAATTTTACGATCACGATTAAAGAACAATTATTTAGTTTTCTAGGTGGGATATTTTTTTCTATTCACAGACTGATTATCTACATGTTAACTGATAACATAATGTTGACATCCACATAACACAGACGTGTTCCCCCTTTATTCGGCGCTTCTACTGCTGAATTATGACTGCAACTACTAAAATTTCACATAATCATGTTGTTGCAAAATGAATGTAAATGATTTTCACGTGCACACTGTCTTGCTTCGTCTCCTATTTCTTAAAAGGACATCTATGTGACAGATGCTGTTATAAGAGCAGCAAAAGTCTTTCGAGGTGCAATGTGTGTTCGTAGCAAGTGAGTGGATGAGCGAATGAGCCTGTTGTTTCCCAACTGCTGGAAAGTGAAGGAGGTTAGCACTAGCTAATATCTCTGTGTGCTTCAGACTCACGTGACTAAATGCACGGTAGTGTGTTTTAAAGGGGAAAGTACATGAACACTATGATTAGGGACTGGGGGGTGGTAGCAGATTTCAGATTTCAGTTTCAAGAAGCGACTTTGTGATCTGATTGTGGTCGACTCGGTTGAGTTTCATCAGCGGCCATGTTCGGCCTCTGAGTGTGTGATGATGACTAAATAATGCCTGATGCAAGCTCCACTTAATACTCATTACTGAGCCCTGATCCACAGTACTAATGTGGACGTGAGAATCATGTTCAGAACCAGGTTTCAGGTGCTGTTCGGTTTGCTCCACATTATTAGGCGTAATTTTCGGAACATTAAATACAACATTTTCTTACTTATCAACTAATAATATAGCTGCCAACGATCTACCATGTATCCTTGGATATCCGCAATCTGGCCTCTGCAAGTACTTATCCAATACTAAAAACAAACATTATACGCAACAAGTAATTGTAAAATATCTGTGCCTGGCTCACACGTGTACAGTACAACTGCTTTTCTTTGCATGATGCACTCAGTGTTATTGACATGGTGATTTCTTTAATGGGCAACTCTCTGCGATGTGTGTCGCACTGAAGAGTTAGAGACGTACGCCTCAATACAGATCGCACTGATTCAATTTACCTCTGGCTGAGAGCGCTTCGAGCTGAGGGTCCTCCACAATGCAGATCCTGAGATCGATGTGGTTCTGTAGTTCACTGGACCGACGTATGCGTGACCTTCTCCTGTGAAGCTGAACTTTGAACGCAGCACCTTTTGTCTGTGGCTCTTTCACTCTGGCCTGGACTTCCTCAGACTGCTAAAAAAAAAAGAAAAGAAAAAAAAAAAAAGGTTTGGTTCTCAAGTCAAATTTCTACCAAAAACATACATAATACTGATGCTTTAAAAAGGAAGTTCTCAGGAAAAAACTGTTATTTTGACCTTTCCCAACTAAAACTTCAAATTTGGATTCCACACATATGGAATTATTTCCATTTGCTGAATCACCATGAAGACGTTCAGAGCCTCTGCTGCTGCCGTTTTTCCCTTTTACACCTCTGGAGGAATATTAATAATAGAATTTCCATTTTTAATGTCCATCAGATCAGCTGACCAATCAACAAGCAGAAGCTCAAATGCACTGAAAAGCTGAAGGCTAAATTGTTATACTGTCAGGAAAGTATAACAATAGGAAAGTATAACAATGGTGAAAGAGGGTGTTGTACAGAACAGATCTTGTCCCTGACGTTAACGTTTTGCATCAGAAAAAGACTTGTGCCTTCATCATCATATAGGTACCTTCAGGCGGATGTAGAGGGCTGAATACCCAGTGGAACTGATGGTCCTCCAGATCTCCTTTGGTGTCAGCGTCTCTACTTTCAGAGGCTCAAGTTTCTTCTTCCTGTCAGTTGTGAAGAAGTCAAAATCTTTCTGATCAGCCAGCTTAGGGAAGGTGGATCTCAGTAGGTCCAGAAAATCCGCTTCATGCAGACCACCAGGACACTGCACTCGCTGCACTGGATACTTCTTATACACTGAAACACAAAGACAGCCTAGCTTACCCTCCTGCTGAAGGCTAACTTAACGTGAAGGCCACCAACCGACAACACAAAACTCCACTCTAAAAGTTATACTGGTTTAATTATTGACATAGTTTTATTGAATATTTTAAATTTACCGTTAATTGAGAGCACATTGATCTCTGAGTCCAGGATGCAGATCCTGAGATCTACGTGGTTCGGGGGTTCATTGATCTGAGGTTTGCTGGACCTTTTCCTGTCAGACTGAACTCTGGGCAACAACAAACTGAAAGATGGAGATTGGAAGCAGGTTAATGAAGAAATAATCCAGTAATTTAAGGTGTAGTCTGTAGTTTGGACATTGTTTGTATGGTATTAGTTTAAGCAGACTGTGTTTGTCTATTGTTGTGACTTAGTTGAAAATCAGATCACATAATTTATGCAGAAATCAAGGTGATACCAAAGGTTTTTACAAACTTTTTCCTGCGACTGTATCTCTTCTGGTGTGTTGCCATGTTTTTGGATCATATAAGAAGTTGTAACCACTCTGAGTTTCGTATCTTATTTAAAGCAAAAGTTGTGTTGTGCAGTTGTGCGTTACCTGGTTTGATCAGGAGTGGATGGAGAATCCGCAGCAGCATCGTTTTTCTGTGATGGATGAAACTCTTCATCAGTGGACATTAGTTCCTCAGCTTGTTTCCCAAATGACGTGTTCTTTAGGAAAATGTCACAAACATAAACCAAACATAATTTATTAAATGTGGTTAAACACATAAAAAGCAAAACCAATAACAACACCATCTAAACAAAGTTCCTTAACCTCCACAAAACATAAATAACACACATCTCTAACAGAAACTTATAAACATCAGAATGAAAAAGCAAACATAACAAAGAAAAGAAAGGCATACATGTAAATGCTCCGTAGTTGTATTGCGCATTCATTCACTGAGCCTAAGTGCTCAAACAGAAGCTAACATTCACACACATTCATACACTGGTGGAACAGCCGCCAGGGGCAATTCGGAGTTCAGTATCTTGCTCAAGAACACTTCGACATGCAGCCTGGAGGAGCAGGGGATTGAACCGCCGACCTTCCGATTAACGGGCATGATGGTAGGGACCCTTCTCTTCTCAATTTACACCACCTCATGGGGGCCGATAATTTGCTCGCATAGCTTCTCTTACCACTGCTACGCAGACGACACACAATTCTACCTACCCTTCCAGCCAGACGTCCCTACCAAACCTCAAGCAATCTATCCACTATAACACCAAACTACAAATTGGCTCTCCGTCCATCACTCCCACCAGGGTAGTGAGAAACTTAGATGTCATGATTGATGACCAGATTTCCTTTTCAGACCATGTTGCTACCGTCTCTCGGTCATGCCGCTTTGCTCTATACAACATAAGAAAAATCAGCCCCTACCTTACTCAGTATGCCACACATCCCCTGGTACAGGCCATGGTTATCTCTTGCCTTGAGTATTGCAATGCCCTCCTAGTTTCAGCTTGTGCGGTGAAACCCTTACAAATGGTTCAAAACGCAGCAGCACGTCTGGTTTTTCATCAGCCCAAAAGGACTCATGTCTCTCCATTACTGTGTGACCTCCACTGGCTCCCCGTGGCCTCCCAAATCACATTCAAGTCACTAATGCCGCATAAAGAGTGACTACTGGGTCTGCACCCATCTACCTAAACTACATAATACAAGTTTACGTTCCTTCTCGGCCGCTACGCTCCTCCAACGAACTCCGCCTGGCTCTGCCATCCCTTCACACAAAGCATATTCAGTCCCAGCTGTTCTCATCTGTGACACCACGATGGTGGAACGAGCTACCACACACCATCACAGCAGGGGCGTCCCTCTCTAAGTTAAAAAAGCTCTTGAAAACGCATCTCTTCCGAGAACATTTTCTCTTATAACACTTCTAACATGCACTTCCTGTCCTCTTCTTCTTCTTCCTCTTTGTCCTTACAATTCTTATATTGATAGCTCCATCCGTTAACTCTTACATACTTCTCTAAGCATTTACCCAATTGATGTGGACCGCGCTAACTCTGAATAGTGTTTATTGCTGCTCTTACTAGAATCTATTGTCACTTTTAGATATTTTACCGTATTGATGCTTTATTGATGCTTGTAAGTTGTTCCTCAAATGTAAGTCGCTTTGGATAAAAGCACCTGCCAAGTGAATAAATGTAAATATGTACCTTGGGTCGGATGTATACAGCTGAACTCCCAGTGGAACCGACGATCCTCCAGATCTCCTCTGGTGTCAGTGTCTTTACTTTCAAAGGCCGGAGTTTCTTCTTCAAATCAGCTGTGAAGAAGTCAAAATCTTTCTGAGCAGCCAGCTGAGGGAAGGTTGATCTCAGTAGGTCCAGAAAGTCTGCCTCCTGCAGGCCACCACGACACTGCAACTCCATCACTGGGTACTTCCTATACACTGAAACACAAAGACAGCATTCAGCAGGAGGTAAGCTGGTTGATGATTAAAGGCAAAGACCACTTGTTGACAACACACCAACTCCACACTAAATGTTATACTGGTTACGTTCTGGACATAATTTTATTGACTGACTGATTAAATCTACCTTTGGTTGAAAGCACATCGATCCGAGAGTCCAGGATGCAGATCCTGAGATCTACGTGGTTCTGTGGTTCACTGATCCAAGGAATGCTGGACCTACTCCTGTCAGACTGAACCCGGGGAAACAATAAACTGAAAGATGGAGGATGGAAGAAGGTTAATGCAGAAATAATCCAGTAATTTAAGTCGTGTGTCGCATTTTTTTTTGGCTTATAACAAAGCTAAGTAAATCCGTTACAGAAACATTTAAAGTTTTAAGTTAAGGTATTTTATTGTTATAATTTACTTCATACAGCAGTGATGTGGAAATCAGACCCATTCTAAGATATGCTAATATTATCATCATTATTATTATTATTGTAATAGTCTTTATGTGTTTAATTTTTAGGATGTTTGAATAAAATTTTGAATTAATGATTTTTTAAATATTTATTTTGGATAGATTTTATAGTGGCCTTGCGATGGACTGGCGACCTGTCCAGGGTGTACCCCGCCTTTCGCCCAATGTCAGCTGGGATAGGCTCCAGCCCCCCCACGACCCTGTACGCAGGATAAGCGGTTGACGATGGATGGATGGAGATTTTTTTTAGTAATTGAGTAATAAACAAATTATCTTTAGAATAATCATAACAATTATTGGCGGTAGATTTACTGACTAGTCAAAATCTTTCATCGATTTGAAAAATAATCGTTAGGAACACCCTTATTGTTGTGCGTTACCTAGTTTGATCAGGAGAGGACGGAGAATCAGCAGCAGCATCGTTTCTCTGTGATGGATGAAACTCTTCATCAGTGGACTTTAGTTCCTCAGCTTGGTACTCAAGTGACGTGTTCTTTAGGAAAATGGCACAAACACAAACCAAACATATACTTATTGAAGGTGGTTAATTACATAAAACATATCTCAATTAATAACCTTCTAAACTAATTTCCATTTGCAAAGTGTATAACACCATTTTGAGATAATTACCCAGAAAGTACTACAGAGATATATAGGACTTAAGCTGAAACTATTACTAAGCTTATTGATCGGTTGATCGACTGAAGATTAATCAGGTGCTATTCTCTTAATCATTCAAGCAATTCCTCAATGACAAAAGTTTAATTGTGGAGGTCAAACTAGTGGAACAAATCAACTCTTCTGCAGGTATCACAAAACAAAGTCTCTATGCATCAGATAGGTACCTTCAGGCGAATGTAGAGAGCTGAACGCCCAGTGGAACTGATGCTCCTGAAAATCTCCTCTGGTGTCAGCGTCTTTACTTTCAGAGGCTGGAGTTTCTTCTTCAAATCAGTTGTGAAAAAGTCAAAATCTTTCTGAGCAACCAGCTGAGGGAAGGTGGACCTCAACAGGTCCAGGAAATCCGCCTCCTGCAGGCCACCAGGACACTGCAGCAGCAGCACCGGGTACTTCTTATATACTGAAACACACAGACAGCATTCACCTGGAGGCTGGCTGGTGACTAAAGGCAGGGGCCACTTGTTGACAACACAAAACTCCACTCTAAATGTTATACTGGTTTAATTCTTGACATAGTTTTATTGACTGACTGATTAAACTTACCTCTGGATGAAAGTACATCGATATGAGAGTCCAGGATGCAGATCCTGAGACCTATGAGGTTCTGGGGTACATTGATCTGAGGTCTGCTGGATCTACTCCTGTTAGACTGAACTCTAGGCGACAATAAACTGAAAGATGGAGGTTGGAAGCAGGTTAATGAAGAAATAATAATTTAAGGTGTTGTCTGAAGTTTGGCCAACCATGTATCTCTACTGGTGTGTTACGGTTTTTATTTCTGAATCATATAGAACTGCTAACCACTCTGAGTTATGTATCTTATTTACAGCAACAGTCATGTTGTGTTGTTGTGCGTTACCTGGTTTGATCAGGAGTGGATGGAGAATGAGCAGCAACATCGTTTCTATGTGATGGATGAAACTCTTCATCAGTGGACGTTAGTTCCTCAGCTTGGTTCTCAAATGACGTGCTCTTTAGGAAAATGTCACAAACGCAAACCAAACATAATTTATTAAATGTGATCAAATACATAAAAAGCAACTCAAATAAAAACACCCCCTAAACAAAGTTCCTTAACCTCCACAAAACATAAATAACACACATCTCTAACAGAATGAAAAAGCAAACATGACAAAGAAAATAAGAGCACTGAAAAAAAGACAAGGCTAAGATTAAGAACATCAGTGAGAACTTCCTGAACTACCGCTTTGAGGGTATTCACACAAAGTACTACAGACAAAGATAGAACTAAAGCTGAAACTATTATTTAGCTTATTTATTGGTTGAGCGACTAAAGATTAATCAGCTGCTAATCTCTTAATTGTTCAAGTGATTACTGAAGAAAAAAAAGTTCAGTTGGGTTGTGGAGGCCAAACTAGTAAATTAGCTCTTCTGCAGGCAGCACAAAACAAAGTCTTCACAAATCAAACAAAGTACCTTCAGGCGGATGTAGATGGCTGATCTACCAGTAAAACTGGTGCTCTGGCAGATCTCCTCTGGTGTCAGCGTCTTTACTTTCAGAGGCTGGAGTTTTTTGTTTTTTTGACATATGAAGACATCAAAAGGTTTATGAGCGGCCAGCTGAGGGAAGGTCGACCTCAGCAGGTCCAGGAAGTCCGCCTCCTGCAGGCCACGAGGACATCTCATCTCATGCACCGGGTACTTCTGATACACTGAAACATTGATGAATTTTCTCTTATTTCAGGTCCACAAAATGTATTTAAAGACGTCCTATCAGTATAATGGAAAAGAAACAAACGAACATACTGTATACTCCAGTACCGCTCTTAAGTACCGTTTTGAGAAACAAGTGGTACTTAAATCTCAAAACTTGTGTTTCCATTGGTCATAAATTTGAGGCTGCACAGACACTTGCAACTATGTGAATGCAGGAAATCAGTCAACTGCCCAAAAAGTATGACCAAGGGGGGCACATTGCTGAACACTATACTGCTGACACTAACCACAATTTCAAAACAATCTGCCATTTAGAATTATATGAAAAGCAATCCCAAAGCAACTAATAGTGACCAGGATACTCCGAAACAACTGATCGTAACCAATTACCTCACTAATAAAGTCCAAAGTGTGAGGTCAAAACACCTACTGTCTAAACCCCTAACTGTCGCCAAGTGAGTACCACAAGGCTCAAAACACTTTTTCTCATTGCATGAATGACATACAAGTGCAGGTTGCTCACTTAGCCACCTCTATGCAGATGATACCATTTTATATTGTATCATCTGCATAGAAGTGGATATTCGCTCCTCCCCATAACAGGTTTTAAGCACTTTACAACAATCTTTCCATTGTATACATTAAGCTTTCTCTGCCCTTCACCTTGTCCTTAACACCTCTTAAACAAAGATAATGCGAGTTCGTAGGAAGAACACTCCCTCCCACCTTGGTGTAATCACCATAGTTGAGGGAGTGGAATTAGAGTAAGTAAACACATACAAATATTTGGGAGTTTGGCTAGACAGTGCACTCTCTTACTCTCATCACATCACCAAGCTACAACAAAACTCTCTTGGGTCTAACTCCTAATTTCTACTTCATCCCTCCTCCGTCACCTACAGCAGCCACTCTTTGATTCATGTCTGGTTACAAATCCCTACATCTAACACATCACTAGGTCCCACTGCCTTTCAGTTCGCCGTGCCCAACAATCAGATGTGAATACAAGAAACAATAAAACTCTCTAGTCACCACTGCCACTTTTAAAAGCAAAATCAACCAACTCATTTTCAGAAACCGTTAAATGCTGTTGTTATGTTGCCCTGCTACTGTCTTGATCATTTTATTTAACTATAGTGCAATCTGTTCTATAATCTACTCTCTGTAGATTATCTTGTCTTAGTATGTTGTCATGAATCTTGTTGCCTGTGTTTAATAATTTGCTCACTTGTCTGTTGTTTGTTACTTTATTTAATCCCATTACACTTTCCATACAGGAGGCCTTTGTCGCCTGCCATGCCGTTAATGTAAATAAGAACCTGGTCTGAATTAACATGGTAAATGGTAAAATAAAGGTAAATTTTTTTTCTTCTTAATGTTACCAGGATACTCCTAAACACCAGATCATAACCAGGATACTCCAAAACACCTGATCGTAACTAAGATATGCATGTAAACACACTCAGTGTTTTCACTGCAGATCGGATGTGCTTTAAACTTACTGTGGACTGAGAGCACTTTGATCCGAGAGTCCTCCAGGATGCAGATCCTGAGGTCTACGTGGTCCTGTGATTCACTTATCTGAGGTCTGCCAGCCCTCCTGTCAGACTGAAGTGTGGGAGTCAATGACCTAAAAAATAAAGACATGGTGGTGTTATGACTGACTGGTCTAACCGGAGGGTGAGCCACAAACCTGGGCAGCCGTACAACATTGTAAAATCTAGTGCTAAAGTTATGATAATGTTTTCATTTTTGTTGAAACATATTGTATGACAATCTGAATTGACCATCACACGGCTACAGTTAAAGACCTGTCTGGAGGTCAGGTCCTGGGTACTGTTCTTCAAATGTGGTTTAACTAATCCAGTCTGCTATCCAGTTAAACTGATCCAGTTCATTCTTGTCCAGACAATTTGGGTCTTTGAAAGCAGTTTGATGTTTGTTGATCTGGATAACTCGGTTGTCTTCGCACAAAGAACACATCTCTTCACTGGTTTTAAATGTTGTTTTTGTTGTGGAAGTTAACCTTTGATATTTGTATTTATATTTGTTTGTCGTTTTGGGCGATCTGAGGTTCATAATGCTCCTCTGAACTTGGAGTCATACTATGCAGTTACAGCATGCTGTGTCATTGTTATGTCCAGGTTCCCCTTTGACCCAACTAGGAAAAACAGAAGAAAAGCACTCTGAAATAAGAGATAACTGCACGATTGTGACTTTTAACCTTGAAGCTTCTTCATTATCCGGTTCTGAGAGATGTTCCTGATCCTGATCCTCCTCCTCATCTTCCTCCATGTGTGCCTCAGTGTAGCACTGGAGACCCATGCTCCCACTGTCTCCCACACCTGGACACACAAACAGCCGGTCAGAATTCACACTATAATCGCCTTCATATTGATTACAGAGGGTGCACATTTGGTTTAGTTGAGGAGAAACAGTGAAATCAAAGGTTATTCAGCACCAACAAATACATTTTTCTTTATTTACATGAATTTATATATCTTCAATAATAAACCGGGTCCATTATGTTATATACCACAAAAAGACACATACGTACTTGATGCATTATAACAGGGCTGCAACTAACGATTATTTTCATTGTTGATTAATCTGTAGATTATTTTCTCGATTAGTTGTTTGGTCTAAAAGAGACCAATGTCAGTCAGTGTTTCCCAAAGCCTGAGAGGACCTCCTTAAACGTCTTGTTTTGTCTGCTACCTAAAGATATTAGGTTTACATCACAGAGGAGCAAAGAAACCAGGAAATATTCACATTTAAGAAGCTGAAATCACAGAAGTTTGAGCTTTTTTCTTTATAATGATTTAATCATTATCAAAATAGTTGGCAAATAATTTAATACTTAACAACTAAACGATTTATCATTACAGCTCAAAGTTATAATACAATAACCCAATGATCACATTTTATGTCCTTCATAAAGACCTAAAACATTTAAGCACAAGTCTTTTTAGAAGAATTATTTGTAAATAAAAACAGCTAAATTATTTTTAGCTTTACACAAAAAAAGGCATGAGTGTGGGGGCTTTCTTTAACCCTGAGTAGTGTCTGCAGGCAGTTCTGACAACCTCCACAAGAATGGGCAGCTTTGTATGTCTCCTGAGAGGCAAAATCCTCACACTGAGTGATTCACCACAGTGGCAGCTTAACTCTTATGTTTACTGTTAAGTTATTAATATAATCGGCAAGTTTAACTTGTGTTTGGCACTTTAGATTGAGACGTATTTTTAAAATGTTTTTCCGAGAACATATTTGGAGGTTTTGAAGTCAAATCAAAATTCTGACTCATTCAGATAAACATAAAGTGCCTTAAATATTTACACTATTTTAACTGACGTGTGCAGCTTTACTATTTTCCACTGGGTCAAAGTCCAGTGTTTATGTCCTCCACTTTCACAGATTTTATCACCAAAATCTGACTACTCAGACCATTAAAGCAGCTACACTCCAGACCAAAGAAAGCTGCTGACACTTATTTTGCATGCTGTTGTTCAATTCAATTCAATGCATCAATAAATATATAAATAAAGTTTTTGAAGCAAACCAGCTGAATGAAAAAGGTTTGTTTCAAGCCTCTTTTCTAAAAAAAAGTGTTGGGGGTCAGAAAACTAACAACGCTGACTGGAACGAACTTTGTTAACTACTTTTAAAGTTGATTTAAAGACGTACTCTGGTAATTTTTATGCTGCGCCTCCTCTGCAGGGACTTGACCTCCTCCAGCAGCCGGCCCACAGACAGGAAACTGGTCATCTGTATAACAAACAAGCAGGGTTTGATTTTTAATCAGTGATAACCACATAATCACATCAGAATCCTGCTTTTCTTATTAAAAACTGAAGACTTGATTTGCTAAAACACAATTAAATTAACATAAACATTAATTTAGTTGTTACATTATAATATTAACCTGAATGTGGAAAGTAACTCAAGTAAAGTACCACAACAGAGCAATTTCTACCACTGAATGTCCCAATTAAATACATGACAACTTTGTTTCAGTACCCAAGTTTCATAGTGGACAGTGAGTTTGAATGTACGCCGAATTGATAAGTGAGAAAACAGTTGTTTTGCTTTGTCTTTAGACGTCGATCAGTTTCACCGTCAGCGAATCAACATTAAATCAAGATTTTTGTAAACGGAGTTCGTCACTAGCTGCGTTTTCTCTACGGGGTGAAAACAATAACTACTTAACTCACAAAGAAAGCCAGTGTAACACCTACCTGCTGGCTCTAGTTTGATCTCAAGCTGCAGCACCGCCTCCAGCTGCCTCCTCTGCCGGTCGATCTCCTGCCTCAGACCCGAAGCCTCCTCCTCGTACCCGGCTACGGTTCTCTCCACGACCGCTACGATTTCCTGCGCGGCTGTTGTCAGTTTCTCTGCGACGATCCCTCTCAGGATCTCCGCGGTAGACATGTTCCTGATGTCCGGGGCCCCAGGCTCCATGTTGTTAGTGCGGGTCCAGCTCAGCACCGCACGGAGCCGTTGTTACCGGCAGAAATTCGCGGGAATGTTTGGAGCGGATGTTGCCCCCCGCAGAACTGGTGCAAGCACAAAATGCAGTCCGACTAGAAACATAAACTAAAGAGGAAAGACTCTCGGAAGGTCCAGTTATTACAGTTTAAGGTATATATTTTTTTAAAACATGTTTTATTGTACACATATTCAAATACAAAGACACAGATAACAGAAAATAAAACAACAAAAAAAAGATGATCAACAAAAGTAAAAACAGAATGATTGACATTTGCAATTTACACGGTCAGAGATTGTGTTAAATTGTATTATAATAGTTTAATAACTTAAAAGTCTTGTCAGCTTTTTTGTTTTTAACATTTACATTCCAGTTAACATGCATAAAAAGCTGGCTTGGTTCCTGACAAGTCTTTCATGTTAAAATTAAATTTTTCATAAATAAACAGTAGTGTGATATTCCTCACGTTTTTATCCATCTTAATCTCGACTGATGCTGAAAGTAATTTAGAGCTTTTAATTCAGTTCCGTATTGTCGTCACAGCTGGCGACTCTTCGGAAGATATTGTAAATGTTTCATTTGTTGTCATGTGCGAGATAAAAAGACCGAGCCAGAAGCCTAAAGGGCCCTCACTCTCATACTTTATTCTCTTGGATGTAACTGTAACTTAGATTTAGATGAACTGTTGTCCTTTCAATATAAACTGTATTGTTTTCAACGAGACACAGAGTAAAGTTCAAATTAACTCAAGTTTAGTGATAATTTCAATCAGAGAAAGAAATACAACAAATACATGCGAATCCGAGCTGGTCCCGGGGGCAGACTCCCTAAACTCCGTGTTAGATTAGTTAATATGTCCTGTCTCGCTCCTCCTCTTGTGGGTCCTATGGTAAGACCCACCTTTTCCACCTCCACACATATTCAATATTAAAACAATAGTGTATTCTACCCTACAACACCTCTAAATGGTATAAGACTGAAATGTGACTTCAGAAATAAGACATCATCTTGATATTAGTGAAAAGTGCATGAACCAATCACACAGTTGGTCAACATAAACATGCACGCAGGTTTGTGTGCTGCATCACATGCTGACCTTCAGAGTTGCAGCCTTCTTGCAAGGGCCCCTTTGTGTTTATGAATTTAGTTTACTCCTCTGGAGCTTGGCTTCAGGTGCTATCAACTTTATGTGAGGATCTAAAAAGGCTTAATTGTCTCTCATATGGATGTGTAAGTAATTTTCAATAATAATAATAATAATAATATTAATTGCCTTTATTGTCATTGCATGTAACAACGAAATTACAATTGCACTTCCCCTGGTGGTGACATATAATATGACAAGACAACATAATAAACCATGGATAAAATACATACATTATAAGAATGATAAATAACTAAAAGTCATTAAGTCACTTAAGTCCAACTGTGTGATTGGTTCCCCTTGGACAAATTATCCATAAACATGGCATTTCTTTATTTCTTTTATTTATGCTGATGACACACAAATATACTTGCCCGTCAGATCCACAGATCCTGGAATGCTGAGTTCACTTAACAACTGCCTTTGTGAAGTTAAAAAATGGATGTCAAATAATTTCCTCCAGCTGAACTCAGACAAAACAGAAATACTGGTCATCGGGTCTCAGCAGATGGCAAATCAAATACTGCCATCTGCTGGTTCCATAGTAAATCACATTAAGCCTGTGGCAAAGAACCTTGGTGTCTGGTTTGATAGTAATTTAAATTTCGAGCAGCACACCACAAAGCTTGTTCAATCATGTTTTTATCAACTTAGAAACATAGCAAAAATTCGATCTATGTTAACTTTTAAGGACACCAAGACCATTTTACACGCCTTCATCTCATCACGCCTGGATTATTGCAACAGCCTTTTCACCTGTTTAACCCAAAAATCTATTGATCAACTCCAGACTGTCCAGAACTCAGCTGCCAGGCTTTTAACCAGAACAAAGAAATATGACCACATTACTCCTATTTTAGCATCACTACACTGGCTCCCAGTGTGTTTTAGAATTGACTTTAAAATTCTATTGATTACTTTTAAAGCTCTTCATGTCCTCTCGCCTTGTTATATTTCTGAACTTTTAGTCCCATACACACCAGCACGTACCTTGAGATCCTCGGGCAGAGGTCTGCTGTCTGTTCCAGAGTCTCGACTGAAAACTAAAGGGGACAGAGCGTTTGCTGTCAGGGCCCCGAGGCTCTGGAACAGCCTGCCTGAGGAAATCAGGTCGGCTGAGTCAGTGAACTCTTTTAAGTCCCTTCTTAAAACATACTTTTATAGGAGAGCCTTTCCCGATCTTATCTGACTTTATTTTATCCCTTTTATTTTATTGTATTTTACTAATTTTATATTTATCTTAAACGTGTATTTAGTTTTTCATGCTTTTATCTTGTATTGTTTTTGTATTATTGTCTTTACACTTGTTAAAGCACTTTGTAACTTGTTTTTGAAAAGTGCTCTACAAATAAAGATTATTATTATTATTATTATTATTAAGTCATTAAAGTACATATGGGTGTTTTCACACTAACTTTGCCACCGGCCAATTAGCAACACTGTTTGACTAGCTGGGTATATACGTTTTTGCAAAATATGCGTATATTTTTTACAAAAATGTGAAGGCCGCAGCATGAGAGAAATGAGGCTGAGTAAAAAAAAAACCTGCAAAGTTCAGTGTATGTGTATATGTGACAGTAACCCGAGATTATCAACCATTGTATTTTAAACCAGCCTTTATTTGTTGCCTTCTATTATTAGAAACTGCTGAGAGTTTTGAGAAGCTACAATACACATCTAATATATTTCATTACTAGAACACAATCACAATATTATATAAGCACTAATGTATAATAAAACTTGTACTCTCCGTAATGCAAAATTAACCCAAAAAGGACACAAATCAAATGACGAAACACAAAACACAATACAAAGCTTTAACCAGATTTAACACTTACCTTTCTACAAAAAAAAGTTTTTCAGCCCAAACTCAGACACCACTTTGGCAGAATCACCATCTAAAACACAAAATGTAAGAATTATTAGCAATTACATTTGAATGAACAGAAAAATTATAATATTATTATAATAATATTTAAATAATCAATCAAGAAAGTACTCATACTTTCCTCTAGAATCCTTGTTCAGCACACAGCCAGAAAAAAGTGTATCCACTGCGCCACAAAACAATCAACAAGTGACTCAAATTTGTTCAGGACACTACCTGTGTGGCCGGGTTAGTGTCAGATGGCCAATCACCACCTGGGAATAAATTGTACAAATAAGACAATATTTTCTAAAATAAAGGCCTCTCATATCAGCAGAAACCATTTTTAGTCCCGACAATGACCGGCTTTTTCTCGGAGGAATCAGTATGTGAAATTTGGTAGCTGTTAACAAATCCAGAGGTTTATGGTTTCGATTATAAGCTAAATTGTAATTTTGAGAAAATGTCCAGCTTTCAAAATATATGAGTCTGGTGTTAGTGCATCGTTTCTTTTATACCACTACAAAACAAATCGACATATTTGGATATGTTAACTCAGAAGAGAGTAGGCTTTCCAACTATATTACTTCATAGTTATGCCTTATTGTGGAAGTTATACAGTTAGGTCCGGAAATATTTGGACAGTGACACAGTTTTCATAATTTTGGCTCCTTAAGCCACCACAATGGATTTGAAATGAAACAGCTGATTGAAGTGCAGACTTTCAGCTTTAATTTAAGGGGCTGAACATAAATATCATATGAAATTTTTAGGAATTGTAACCATTTTTATACACAGTTCCCTTATTTCAGGGGCTCAAATGTAATAAGTCTGAAACCCATGTACATTATCAAACGGTGGGTTTCCTCCTTTGTGATCATTGCTTTTTCAGTATGTTTTGGGTTCTTGTCCATCTGTACAGTGAAGTGCTGTCCAATCAATTTGGCTGAATCTGAGCGGATAATATATTCCTACACATCACAATTTTTCCAGAGCCCAAAGTGACATCTTCAAATTGCTTCTTTGATCCAACCAACAGTCCAAAACCCAAAGACTCTTCATTTACTATCATAAATGAAAAAGAATCGCAGCAATTCCTCAATTTAAGAAGATGAAACCAGCACCTGAAGTGATTAATTGATTATCAAAATAATTTTCATTTGACCGACAAATCGAATAATCAACTAATCATTTCGGCCCTGCTTTTAAAGGGAACGATCAATCTCAGGAATGCTCCTGTTCTTACGCTCCTGTCCACTCCCTGGATCTTTCAATCCATCTGTAAATATTAGCATATAATAATTCCTCTTCACATAATCTTGAACCAAATGTCCTATAGTATTCACATTCCTTTGACTCCATTCTCTCTTCTTCTCTTAAAGTCCACTTTGGGCACAGGAAATATCCTCGGAGGACAGCATTTAGTCCATAATCTAACCTGTTTAATCTGTATCCTTCTGCTACTGCATTAGTATTCCAACCAAATATTTACCTTTCAGTTGTTGTGAATATTCCTAACAATCACACATAACCTTTGCTACTGGCTGTTCCTCTCCAGATCTCTTTAACTTAAGCCAATATACCAGTGCCAACTTTGAATGTCTTCAATATAATGGTAACAGTGCATTAGTAGGGGTTGTTTTAACTGCACCTATACTGAGTCTTAGAGCTCTGAACTGTTTTCAGTTTAGTTTTTCTAACACACTCTTGGCTGCTGCTCCTTTTATCTGCTCCCCATTGATAACCAGAAACGGATCTCATGAGAGTTAGTACCTTTTTACATTTCGTTTCAACCTGTTTGTGATTCCTCCATACACATTTCATTCACAAAACCATACTTGAACTCTTTTACCCTTTCCCTACTTTGTACAATTTAAGCTGCACATTATTTAATATTCCTTTTCCTGGTAAAAAAACATATTGCATGACTCTTAAATCCCAAATTATTTGACCATCTTTCAACCTTCAGTACAGCACTCTGAATGCTAGTAGTCACTTGTATAATGTTTTTCACTCTTTTCCTTATAGCCCCATCATCTGCATAATGA